TTTAGCAGCATCATATGACCCCTTTAAAACAACAATATGCAAGTTATTTTAAATTGTAATATTTCACAATATTACTGTTTTAGTGTATTGATCAAATAAACGCAGCCTTGGTGAGAATAAGATACTTTTTTTCTTGCAAAAGCATAAAAAAATCTTACAGATCCCAAACTTTTGAACAGTAGAATATGATTGCTTTGTTGCTGTAAATCACTTTCATTAGTTATTTATCCATCCAAGTTTGATTCTGAATTAAATTTTATTTAAAACATTGCAAAAACAATTAAGCAGCCATTCCGCTTCACAAAATCTCATGTCTTTATACTGAATAAAACATTCATCCATATCAAATAAAGTGTTTTTTTTTTATCTTAGTGTTCCCATCTAGCATTTTTAATGCAGTATCCCAAAAATACTTGAATGAAAAGCTAGTGTGAATAAGTGATTTTATTCAGGCAGGTAATCTTCAAAAGTCTTTCAGAGAGTGAGAGCCACAAGTGCATTGGCTCTTTTGATCACACACAGTATCATCCATTTTTATGGTTGAAAATTTCATCTGGCTTTTGTTAAAACCTTTAAAACAGCTCTTTTATTCATTTCCAAAGCAAGGTGTCAAAATGTGTGTTGGATTTCTGATTTGCTTCTTGGCCTACTGTACTGTAGCTGTGGAAACCCAGAGGTAACAGAGAGGCCTTCAATATCAATATCATCAAACACCTTGTAAGAGGAACACTATTTGTCATTATTTACTTAAAATCTGATTTGAGCTCCAAACTCATTGGCTGCCGTCTCTGTTTTCCCTTTGTGTTTGTGAAATGCTGGAACGGTACAGCATGGTGTCGGGAAGTTCAACATATTATCACCCTTCCTCCGACCAGAGCGTAATCAACACAGACAGGCATCGGTTATCCTCGAGCGATAGTCTCTGCTTCTCATTAGGATGTCGTGAGTGTACATACGTTGTTTTTACAAACAGGGATCGGTGTGTGTTGCATAAATAAGCGGGAGCGTTTGAAATATGAGCGCATTGAGAGAACCTCTGCGCTCTCTGCTGAGTTTTTTCAGGGCTCGCATGTGGTGTGTGTTGGGGTTGTTTGTAGAAGTGTTGTGACGTTTCAAACATACTATTATTAAGAAATGTATCATTGGCCCACTGTCCAGAACCTTTTGTTCTAGTATTCCTCTTCCTCTTGATCCCTCTTTCTGGCTTTATTACCGTTTCTCTTTCTGTCTCACTGTACTGTGTGTTCTGTTTATTTTGACAGCCAATTGCTGTTGAGTAGTTTTTAATGAGGGCTTTGATGAACCTTTGTTCAATTAAGGGGCTGGAGAGGAGGAGTGCAAGCGGCCTCTAACTGTTCACTCATTTCACCCTTTCCTACTTTCTTCCTTTTTTTTGAATTTCGCTCCCTCTTTTGAGCCCCTGAGCTAATTGTTAACATCCCCCTGCCCTGAACTGTAAAACAAATGTGCTACTGTGAGAGGGGTGTGCCATACGAAGCAGAACTGTTTAAATCAGACCCTAAACACATATCTTTGAACGAAGGCTCCTGTGTTGAAGTGTTGACAGTAGCTAATCTGTTCAGATTTAAACATGGCTGGTTGAAGCCGGTAAATGGATGCATCTGAGATTAAGCAATTAATCGCAACATGAAAATTTGATACCGGCATATCCCTAATCACTAGTTGATTCGCCTGTGATGTCCGAAATGCTATCTCGGTTCTTTACCAAGTTTTCAGTTCATATCAAACTTCTTCACATTCTGATACAGTGTGATACATGCACTGCTCTTCAAGAGTTTAGACACATCTAGTTTTCCACATTTTGAAATACTGTAGTCATTACAACTAATTTATTTTAGGCTCTTTAAAGGCAGCCAACTTATTGTGGAACATAACTTATTGTGTTTTTTGTATAGTAGTTTTTACTTCAATATATAGTTCAGTTTATCTATAAAAATAAGCAGAAATAATGAACAAAATCAAATTTATTCAAAAACCGATAAATTAATTGATTTGAAATAAATAATTAAATTACGTTTTTTTATTGTAATATTTTTAAGCTGGATAGTGAAGGGAAAATGACTAAGTGGTCATGGACACACTTGGTCTCTCCTGCATTTTCGGTGGCATTTCAGTCACAATCCATATGGATTGTCATTGTTTTTCCACCCTTCTGAATTTACATTTCTGTTTTAGCGTTGTGCTGTGGCATACTCTGTTTCTCCCTTCCTCCCTTTTACTCATTCTTGTATTATTCTTGAATAATATTATGTTATGACTTGCTTCGGATATAAAATAAATTTGAAATGTAAATGAATCAATCTCAGTTGCTCTCATGTCATTTTCTTTGCTTCTGTCCAGTAAGAATTGAGGGCTTGAAACTTTTTCGTTTCTTCATTAATTGAACAGCAGAAAATATGAATGCACATATAAATTACAGATCAATGCAAGGAAATAGAATATCTATTCACCCCCTCCAAGATGTGCAATCATCAGTAATGACTCTATTTGTTGCAAAAAATCAAAGCTTACCACACTGAGTTTACAAACGCCTCCAATCAGACCAAATGACTCATGAGTGATTAGAATGTCCCCAGCAGGAGACAGGTATCCGTGTGTCTTCATTCCACCATGAGGACCAGACACAACAAACCCCGTACTACTTTTTGCCTCTGTGATTTATTACGGCTATTACACATACATAGACGGTAGGCCGGAAAACAAGTGTGTTTATTTTTTAATCACTGCAGTGCATAGCATGCACTCTAATCATCTATAATCGCCTAGTTAGTGCTTCAGCCTGATTAGTGGCTGGCTGAATACTACTGCAATGTGTGTACATATGTGTAGCTGTGCTGACCGTTCTGTGGTATTTGTTAAGCCTTGTTATGCACCGGTCATGTTGAACACACTAAACTGTTTTCTACTCATTATATCCGTGTCATCTGTAGATTAACACAGGCTGTAGGTTTATCAGAAGCTGCTGGAGATGGATTAGAGCAATTACACATGGGACCTGACCCCACACAGGACACAATCACACTCCTCCATCCTCCTCTTTTTGGAGTGAGAGAGGAAGGGAGAGCTTTTCCTTTTGACCCCATCTGACCTCCATTCAGGTCTTTGTCGGTCAGGTGTGTGTGTGTACTGTATACTTTATACGACTGTGTACAAAGAAGCTTTTGGCTAAGTGAAGTCGTGGCCTAATGATTAGAGTCGGACTCGTAACCCAAAGGTTGCGGGTTCGAGTCTCGTACCGGCAGGGATTGTAGGTGGGGGGAGTGAATGTACAGCGCTCTCTCCCACCTTCAATACCACGACTGAGGTGTCCTTGAGCAAGGCACCGAACCCCCAACTGCTCCCCGGGCGCCGCAGCAAAAATGGCTGACCACTGCTCCGGGTGTGTGTTCACGGTGTGTGTGTGTGCACTTTGGATGGGATAAATGCAGAGCACTAATTCCGAGTATGAGTCACCATACTTGGCCACATGTCACGTCACTTTAAAAAAACAGCCATATGGCCAACTGATGTGGAGATGCCGATCCTCCCCAGTTCTCTCCCTCTTGATTCTGTAAGAACAACCTTATGTCGTGGCTGTGCTGCAGCAGTTGGCACATGTGCTCACAATGTGAAGTGACCTTGAAAAGTATTTGTAAACATTTTTAAAACCGTATGAGGTTCATTGCATTAGATATCTTTATATATAGCCAAGTGGAATTAATTTTAAAGAGGGTGCAAGTGCAAAACATGTCCGTAGTTAATGTGGTGAAAAACTTTGGAGTAGTTGGTTAGATTTGGCTCAGAAAAGTAAAGTTAGTTGAGAATTGGTCTCACACATCATTTGTGTTTCTGATGCCAACTGGTTTGATATTTTGTTTTCAAATGCAGTGACATATTCAGCGTGGCTTAACTAGTTTTTAAGCTTTTATTTGTACTTCATTTTAGTTTATTTTATGACTTTATTTAAATTTTTATTATCTTATATTAAAATATATATTTATTATATTGTGCTTTAATTTTTATTTTTTGATTTTATTACCTTATTTGTGTTTATTTTATTTTGTTTAACCTGAGCATTGGTTAGTTAGTTAATGCTAGTGGCTTCCATTTAAGAAATTACTACAGTGGAATTTCCATGGCAGATGGAGAGAGACAAAGGAAGAGGAGGAAAGGATGAGATGACTTCGGAGCAAAGAGGGCATTGTCTTGATTTCTGTTTTTCCTTCCATTCTCTACCCATCTCACATGGACAAAAAAAGGATAAAAAAAGACCTGCCCCTCTCTCTCTTACGGATTTACTGTGTATTCATCCCTCCTTTCACTAGATTTATTGCCCAAGTGTTTCCAGTGTGCAGGAAGTCCTCTTGTATAATGGTGTTTTGTTTTTATTTTTTGACCCCATCAGATAAAAATCCCACATAGACTCTTGGCCCACCAGTCTGCTATTTTCTTTCAGGTTTAGTGTCATATTAATAGCTTTGGATCTCCCCTGAAGTATTAGCCTGATTGTCAGGAAGGTGCTGGACGGCAGACAAGGGCATATTTGAGGTTTTCGGCTTGGAGCTTAAATTTGTATGTGTATCTGCATGTGTGATGGTGAATGTGTGTTGATGTTTAAACAGCACTGCGGTTCTCCCGGCTTAAATGTCCACCAGAGTGCTGCTAAGCTCCACTTTTTATGTTTGTGTTATTGCTTGTATTCATGGTCTTGTTTGGTTGTAAATACAATATGAATAGTGTCTCGTGTGTGTGTGTGTTCATGGAGACTACATAAGAGACCAGAATGCAGCAGATTCTGCCAATCGATTGAAAGAAAGGTATCACACGAGTTTCAGTTTGACAGGGATAAAAATGAGGGGAGAAACATGCAAACTTAATTCAAATGAATGGCCATAGTTTTACCACCTGCTGTAGAGGGTCATGCTGTATGTGAAAGATATCCCATATGTGAACCTCACATATCTTCGTTTTCTCCCTTCCCTTTCGTTCTTTCTCTGTAGGGGAAGGTTGCTCAGACGGCATGTATGTCAGCTTGTAAACACCTTTCAACCTCCCTGCTGCAGCTGCTATTGGAGGCTGATGTCAGGCAAGTGTCTATGGGAGCCCTGCAGCAGTTCAACGTGGATGTCAAAGAGTGCGAGAGTAAGTTTGACCTGGAGCAAAAGCTGAATGACCATTCATAAGCCTCCTTAAACCTGATTGCATGATTGTGCTTCATTCTGTTGTGGCCCAATTAAAAAATTCCTAATTTGTACTGGAGACTAATTATGCCACAATGCTGTGTCTGCTGTAACCAGCTTTTCATTTGACGCCACTTTCTTAGAGATTGAGGTGAAAGTTAGAGGAAAAAGGTGAGAAGAGTATGCACTTTTGGCTAGTGCTTGAGATTTTTCGCTTGGATCCGGTGTTGCCAGGTCCGTGGTTTTCCCGCGGAATTGGGCTACTTTAACACTGTTGCCGTTGGTTGTTTTTCATGTCCACGGGTTGAAGTGACCCCAATAACGTGATATTTAGCCCCTGGAATGTCCTGCTTGGATCATCTCTCCTCACAGTTTTGCATGTGATCACAGCTAAAACTGCCTTTGAGTGCCTAACCCCGGCTGGATAATGGATTTGCCATGATCCTCTGCCAGCGCAGAGGTCACAGGCAGAGAGAGAATGACCTCCGTCATAAAACGGTCATGTCGGTCACACCGTATGCCACCGTTTTGGTGTGGTTTCCTTTGGTTTACCAAGCAGCCTGATAAGTACCATGTCAGTGATTGCTTTCATCTTTAGAGACCATGTCCTGTTGATTTGGATGTCCCCCCATGTATTTGCATGCCTCAAACCACCAAACTGACCTTTAATCAAAATGGCACTCAAGTAAAAAGAAAGGCCCCTCCCTCCATACTCACATACACAGTCTTGGTGAATGAGGTCACCGTGTTTACGGTTTCAAGGTTGGTTCTTAGGAAATAATACAGAACTAAAATAGTGTAACCACTTGAATGCGTAGACTATATGTCTATGGTTAAATCTATCAGCCGTTTGGACGTGTCTTTGCTGTGGGGAGGGAGGGGGATATGAAGACCCAATGAAGTCAAGAAACGATAAGGATCTTTGTATAAAGCTTGATCATAAGCGGGCCCAAAAAATGTGCAATATGCTTGATCATAAGCAGGCCCAAATAATGTTAAATATGGGTAAACCATGAAGTGCAGGTATTCTGATTGCTGCATTTTGAATGTATTGAAGTCTGGAAACTGTTTTAGAAGAAAGAAGGGCATAACAGTCTACATGTGTAATGTTGGTGTGGACAAGCATCTTGATGGTAGCAATGTCCGGAAAAAAATGTGCAAAAGTTGTATCTTTAGGGGTGCAACAGTTGGGACAGTACCCTTTAAGGGACAACTTTGTACCCCTAAAAGGTGCACATTAATTATGAACCTTTTGGGGGTGAATAAGTACAAAGATGTCCCTTTGAGGGTACTGCCCAAGTGACAAGCTGTTGTACCCCTAAAGGAGTCTAACAGGAATATATTGAGTTTGTGGTTCAACAAGCATTACTTCAGTCTTAGTAGGGTTTAATTGAACTATTGTTAATGATTTTGTTAATTATACCCAGTGCATCAACTAAGGAAATTAAGTGTTACCGCAATTCATAATCTCTTTGTTTAAGATTGGGTACATATAAATGGACTATCAGTGATATACTGGAATGCTTTCTAATCACTTTCTTTTCTTAATTAAAGGTTATCAGTCATCATACCACTGCAGTTTTATCTCGAGCCCACAAAAGGCTCTGTTAAACTGAGATTGGCCTCTCACATGTCTGCTGTGCCTCTTTGACCTGTACGACACCACAAGTGGGCGATGGAACACTCAAAGGGAGAGAGCATCATGAGTTGCTTCCTGTTCAGTTCAGCTGGTTTCGGGAGCATAAAGGTCTTGACCGCTTGTTCCTGCTTATCCCTCGAGAGGTTTCTTAGCGTAGTCACTAACAGGGCTTTCTTTTGTATTTACCATTGTGGTGCGGAGGTGGCCTCAAGACCTCCTCCTGTTCGGTTTAAGGTATGAATTTTTTTAGATGGTTCTTCATGGGTCATCTTATCCCATTTGCACCTCTGCACTCTTGAACACTGCAGAGCTGGAGCCTTTATAGGAAACGTTGGCCTGTGCTCTGGTTTGAAAAACACAAACTGAAACACACTGAGAAGAACATCAAGGTGATGTTGCAACCAGAAAGGCAACAGCCCAAGTCATTATTCTCTCATCCCATTATTTATGTTTAGAGGACATTTTGATAGCACTTTACTAGCACAGAATAGATTTTGTTGCTGCAGTTCATTTGACCATTTAATCTGTTGTAGCCTAACATGCATACTTCAGAGCATGAATGTTGTGGGCATATGTAAGCGTTTCGCAATTCTATTCTGCCTCAGGTAGCCTTTTTCCAGAAACGATCATTATCTTTGTCCAGAAACGATTATTGATTGGATTTATTCTGTCGTACAAAGGCAAAATACAGCAACTTGACATTTTGTAAGGAGTTATGACCAGATCTCATAGGTTTGGATCAACCATGCTCTGATTTAGAGACAATTGTAGTAACTACAAAACCCACACTTAAAACCATCTTTTTTTTTGTTTTGTTTGGTTTACTGCTTGTTGCCTTTGCTAGGGCAGTATTGTCATCATAAAATATTAGAAACTTTATCCCATTTGATTTTATTTTAATGAACGAGTTTCAAACAAAATCTTAGAATATTCTTTATACTGAACAGTTGTTCTTTTGCAACATTGTGGCTTTCATGTACAGTCCTGCTGCTCACGTCTTGCATACTCCAAAAAACAGCTAAGGGATCGAGTTAGTGTTTGTGCATCTCACTGAACTTATCTAAATCAGTTCTTAAATTTTGTGAATCAATTCAGAATTGTTAAAGAAACTATTGCAATGCATTGATATATCAGTTTTGTTCGCCAGTTCTAGAAAAGCAGTGATGCACATTTGGGAGATGCAAGTTCGATTACGATCCCACTTCTCTCACTGTTTGTTTAATATTTTCTACCTTCTCAACTTTCTGCCCAAATAAAATAGGCAACAACCTAAAAAATATAAAATAATTATATCTGGTTGTGAATCAGTTCTATCAAACATAACTACAGTTTTTTTGGGGGGACACGTCAAATGAAAGTTTGAAAAAAGGCCGTTAAGAAGAATGCAGCATGTGTTCGTGAATTCCGAGATCTAGAGAGAATGGGAAACAATAATAGCGGGGTTATAAGGGTCCATATTTGGGACCCCCTCCCTCGTTGCCGAAGTGGCCAACCTGGGCGGGTGTCAGAGACTGAGAGGGGATGACGGATGGGCTGGATGCTCAGGGAGTACTGGATGAATGAGCTGACAGACAGTGACGGATAGCTCTTTCTTCCACTAAAACAATTCTGTTTTGTCCCTCCTGCCATCATGATGCAGTGCTACTTGTTTTCCATTTAGTGTTTTTTTTTTTTTAAACCTGACTTCACCATGAAGGCGCTTGTGTGGTTTTGCTTTGTTTTTTTTTAAAGAGAGGAGAAAAGAGGATGCTGAAGAAAAGAATGAACAAAATAGACATTTAGCTTTTTTTAATGTCATGTTTTGCTTTTGAGCTGTCATGATGCATGACTTTCTACAAAGATATCTTTCTTTATTAATACTGTTATTGTTATTATAATTTAAATAGCATCCAATGGAAGTTGGTAGAGGTGCAGTCTTCTCTCAAGAGGTGGCTTTTTCAAGGGGTTGTTCTGGTGATCAGAGACGTCAGAACCGTTCTGTCCCCCTGCGTGCCTGGCCCTGAATACGCCCGATAAATCAACCTGAAGGGCCCGTTTGTGTCCCAGTCTCCCAGGTCCTGGGATGGGGCCGCGGGTCAATCCTTATGGAGATAGACAACGAAAAGGTCCGGAAGCTCTGGGAGGGGATTTGGTGAGAGGCTGGAACCTGGATTCACTCTCCTATCTGAAAAGACAAGAATACAAAAAGAAAAGAAGAACGTCCAGACTCCGCTTCAAAGTGCTTTAGATGATGAAGAGTAAAAGGATGGATGGAGGACTGACGTGATGAACGACTTAATTCGTGAGCCATGTTCACACAGCAGGGGGATACTGCTGTTTGGAGTGCTAAATGCGTTTGAGTTTGGTTATCAAGTAGAGTTGATTCTTCAACCGAAATGCCTACCTGAAATTTTCAGATGTCATGGCTGAGATTTGAAAGAGTGGGTTCATCTGTCATAGGGAAATGAACATATGTGTAGAATAAGCACATGAAGAATGCCTGGCTACCTTCATACATATTATTATACAAATGGAAGTAGGGGTATTTTGTAGTCAGGAAGCAAGATAACACTTCAGTTTAATGTTGAGGAGTACAGGAAAATGTATGACATAAGAACTGGACTTGAGAAACATGAAATCAGCAGGAGTTGCTTGAAGCACTATAGAATATAAATGACATCCTTAAGACATAATTGAGTGTCATTCCCAAACCATGTAATTTCAAAATGTGAAGAATGTGGAGGTCAAAGTTTATTTTAGCAAGATATGAAGAGTGATTTTACAAAAAAACAACAACAGTTAATAAATAGACTGTGAGGAATCAGAAGTAGGTATTATAAACGGCACGCTGCAGTTCTATATTTAGGAGTCTTATATTGGTAGATTATATTAGGAAAGGTTTGTGGCGATGGGAACCCTTGGCTGGCCTTGGTGTGGGAGGCCTGCTGGCCTCTGTGGTGAGGCTGGCCCCCCAGCAGTGCATGTTCTCGGGGCTGCCGCATGCCTCAACTCTGGCTCTGGATCTTCTGCCTTCCCAAATTCCTCTCAGCTCCAAGGGATGGGGGTGGAAAGAACCAGCAGCCAGGCCTCGGTTGATGTGGAGTCCCTCATGGACTCACATAAGTGTTATTTGGTATGAAGTGGTGATTTAAATAGAATTTTGTTAGATTTTGATGGATCTATCTATTTTGTATCATTCTATTGTTCTATCTATGGGTCTGTCTGTCTGTCTGTCTATCTATCGCATTCCATCTGTATAACCTTCTAACTTAAAGGATTTTTAAATTAGTTATATGAATTTAGATTAATTCTAAATGTGCTGTCTTACATTAAAATTCAAATTG